AAAATAAGGCAAAGAACCGTATTAGATATTTGCAGACGAAGAAACTCTTTCTTCGTGAGGGGCATGGGAATTTTCCTTTCAGACCACTTTTGGTTTTGCTAGATGCAAAAGAGCATCTAGCTGAGAGAACACTGTACTGTATATGTTCCACCGTTTGACGTAAAAATTAGGTGTGCCGTGCTCTTAGAAGCTTTTGGCTCTGATTTTCTAAGGGGAAAAGCACGCAGCTCTGTGATGATGAAGATAATACATAAAGAAATTGAGGGGCCAAGAAGAAAATTTAATGAAGCTTTGTTACATTTTTAGAATCTTGACAAGGCCTTCGTCGAAAATGTGTTATGAAAATATAAGCAAAGCCCTTATTTGGTTGGCTTACTTTTGCGTGGCTTACTAGGAGTGCCCAAATGACGTCATTCGTAGGCGTAAAAATGCATGATTGATTGAGCACCAGTGAAAAATCATAACTCTGTAATGAAAAACAACATTCCCAAAGAATCAAAAAGGTTCTAGTGAATGAATCAGGGTTAAGTATTCTATGAAAAAAATGAATTTCCAGAGTAATCCTAGATTCATTTTAATTTTTTTCTTTTCTTAGATGAAAACACTCGAAAATTCCCCAAACTTTGCCATCTTATCAAGACTTACTGAACTCTTCTTTTCAGGGTCATTGGGAGCAATAAAACTTAGTGACACTTAGTTTAAGGATTACAACGCTCAAAAAGGGTAGCACTTTCTAAGAGCTGTTTATGAATGTCCGAATATTGGTGTGGCACCTGCCCCTTCTACCGTTCCTGCTTGAACTTGGTATCGGTACCAGTTACAGCCACGAAAGCTGGATGTAATTCTTAAGTCTAATTTCTTGTTTTAATTAATTAATGATTAGCAGGTTTATGATATCTCAAGGCCGTAATTATGCCGATTATCCCGTTTTATAGTCATTATCAGTTTTTTGAATGCCGTTACATCATCTTCGTTGCTCGATTTGTGTCTGTATAGGTGCGTATAGGCAAACTTTCTCATTGTTACGAGTTCCAAAGAGTTGACAACCTCATTAATTTAGGCAACTCTGACTCACAAGCCTTTTGCTAATATTCTTTGTGGGAAAATCCCATGAGGGGTGTAAGACAGATTTTTCTCACATTCCATTCGCACCCACGTTTTTATGCCATTCTACTCACTTTTGTAGGTGGATGTCAGAAATGCGGTTTTTTGCTGGCCTCGCTGAGTCAAGTTTAGCCTCTAAATTGCCTTTAGCCTTATTTGCTTACATTATCTGGCTAATCAATATGAATTATTCACCCAAAATTGTACCAGTGTTAGTCAAAGTTCAACAAAGCAAGAAGACTAGTTAGTCACCGTTTGCTTTTTTCCATTATCAAACCACTTCATTTCAAGGCTTACACCACAGAATCCTATTCTATGCTTACACACGCCAACGGAATATTTTTTAGCCCACTGCAACAGCGTCATACGTTGGAAGCCGAAAAATCCCTGCGTGACTTTGGAAGCCCTAAAACGAGGTTACAATGACGTCACTCCAACAAGCCAGTTTCTTCTTCCAACACGGAGCTCCAATCTCTCCAATATTAGAATGACCTTGCAGCCGAGTATATCGAAAATATAGATTCCTGTTCCTGTGAGCTTAATTTCTTTCAAGTTATGATTGTCTTTAGTTTTTGTGCGGTTATACATTGAATAACTTTACTCGTGTTTTAAATAAAGAAAACAAAACTTTTTAGGGAAATAGGTGAAGAATGTGCGGAAGTTGTACTCAAAATTCCTTTATAACTGGTTTTCCTGAAGCCTTTCATGAGTACAGGAATTAATGTTGTGTTGCGTAAATAGGGCATTGAGGCCGTCTGTTCTACTGGATTATTTTCAATAGCACGTGAGGCAGGCATGGATCTGTGATTTCATCAAAATTCTCCAAACTTTTCTTTGCACATGAATGAAACTTCGCGGGGGTCGGTTGCAATAAGTAAGGATGCCTGTACACCTGGGGCCGTTATTGCCCCCTGCCTGTCCTTCCACAATTTTCCCAATTTTATTTTGTTTGCTTTGTTTTCCCTCTTTGCTGACGCTCTCACCACCCCTTTCTGCACAATTACCCCTATCAAAGGGGGCTATGTCTTTGGGAGGGACTACAGCCCCTTTGAAACACAACAATTGTCGAAAGACTTCTAAAATTTTATATATCAAATATATACCAACACTGTACAAAAGTACCACTGCTTCTACTTGTGCCGAGGGGCAGCAATTCGCTCTTGCAAAAAGCGTACGAGTATTCCGCTAAAACAAAAGGATTTTCAGGGATTTTCCGATAAAAGGATGAGGTTTCCACAAAAGTGTTCAAGATTCTCTTGTATTTTTTCCCTATTCACCTTACCCAACCATCCTTCGCCATATATCGCTATATACTGAAATAACGACAAATCGTTTTTGATGCCCTAGTGAAAGGGCTTTGACAAAATACGGATTTTCCTAAATCTATGAAAATGTTTAGACTGTCGACATTCCTATCTTTCACCTCTAATTAAAACGTCAATGCAATTTAAAAAACCTGCATATGAGCAATGTTTTGTAAATTAAGGTTAATGTTGCAACCACATTCTCCATTTTTTAGATTTTACACTTTTAAATCTAATTCATGTTATGATTTACAATCTATAGTTTATGAAATAGATATATCTGTTTTCAATACTTTTTCTCCCAGAAAGGGCTTTGTGGATCCTCGGCTAGCATTTTTTTGCTTTGAATGCACAATAATAATTGATTCAATGTGCAATTTGCTTTCTTTAAAGTAATGTATCAATACAAAAATGCGAATATTATCCGATTCTCGTTGCTGAAAAATCGCCAAAAGCAGCCGAGCCCCTATTTCGAGCCTTCCCACGTTCAGACTGCTCAACAAAGATGCAAAGCCTCTTTAGAATTTTTTTCTATTTTATGGCGAGCTTTTATAAATTGATGTTGATCACATCACCACTTCCCCTCAAAAGTCTTACAGTTTTTTTATTATCTGCTTGTAGCAAAACCTCGTAAAAAGTTATGAATTTTCCTATAGGCACGCCGTACAGGTTGGACAACCATACCGGCCGTGTGCTCGCATTTCTCTAATTGGCCTATTTCGATCCACAACAGGTCATATATTTTCAATCTTGTTTTCTCGGAACCTTTTTCTGGCGTTTTATGCTCTGAGAAGTTTCAGACGAAAAAGCTTTCAGTATGATATAAAATGTTTGCTTTACTCAAAGCCATTTTCAAGTTTTGTACTACCGAAATTTGTTCAAATTTTTCAAGCAGAGGTAAAAATAGCAGGAGATTGAGGATTTCGACTAAACTGCAAAACTGGTCAAGTTTATTAGTTATAACCTAGCTCCCGAAGGTAGTTTTAGGACACTGAGAAGCTATGTTTATTGAATAGTTCCCTGGTCCTCCCTTTCTTTGTGACCACCTCCTGGTGATCCTATGCCTAGAATTAGAGAGAGCTTTTAAAACTATGTAATGGCTGGGACTGGAAAGCCAAAATCCTTGGATCTGTTATCCCAATTACTGAGTAATCCCCACACCTAAAATTTGCACTAATCAATGTCAAGAAATTTTTTCGTAAATGAATGCGCCTTGCCACGTGTAACTTAACCGCGCGAATTTCCTTGCAACAAAAGCACAAAAGAGGTATCAAACCAGATCCGTTCCTATTTATAAAAACCACTTGAGTTTTCTTCACCGTTTACTTGAAGTAGAAGCAAAAGTAAAAAACCACTTTTCCAACCTCTTACTCAAAACAAACAAGTATTTTTTGTTCATTGAAATCATCGGTAACTGTCACCATACGTGGTCAGTCAATCCACATGTGGTTACAAGATTTTTCTACCTACCAAAAAGTAAAGAAAGCTAGATATTTATACAGTGGATACAGTGGCTCTCGATTTTATACAGTGGATTCAAGTTGATGAATTTTACCAAGCACTTTTATCAAAATGAAAATTGTTCAGAATAACATCGATTTTAGATTTGTCAACATATAAGAACACCGTAAGAACAGAAGCAGCCCCAGATGAAAAAATTAGAAGGAAAAGGCGATGGGCTTTGTACATTTACTCTCCTCTCAACAAAACCGGACAGACCTATCAGCAAATCAACCGTACCACTTTAAAAAGTCGCGCAAAACCGTTATTTCATTGTCTAGAAACATTTAGTTATATCTAGCTGTAGAAAAATCAATTCTGAAAAAAGAACAACATAAAGAGCACTATATACTCAAATTATCCCAAAAAATAACATCGGGCTTCAGCATAAATCTCCTGGTTCCTTCAAAATAACTTGATAAAGGAAAACATCTCGTGACAAAGTAAATTTTTTTCTTAAAGTCATTCATTTCAAATAAAGGGTAGTTTAGTTCAATATATCTTGAATACCAAAATGATTTTATCGGTTCTTGAAATTCTTCTTAGAATGCCTCTGTCTATCTAAAAAATTTGAAAGCTGAAGGAATTTATTGTACAATAACTCCTTGCGAAATATGGAGAGGGGTCTTCTAGGCAACTTCCCATCAGTATTCCCCTCTGTTTGTTTTACTAAAAGCTGACCAGGAAAAATAGCATCGCCTCACAGTTCGCGTGCCCTACGGCCAAGGGCAAATGCGCACAGTTGGTTGATGTAAAATTCTTTCTATTAGAACCAATACCGGTCATCGTCTGCTCTTGGATAAAATAAACGAATCAATCATTATATAGGCATGGCAAAAGAAGGCTCTCGACAATTTCAGAAGACTTCTTTGCCTTTTCAGGCGATATGATGTCCGCTGCCAAACTGCCCTATTGATCGTTATTGTTTCTGTGTTTCTGTTAACGTTTAATAGAACAAAGCGGACAATAATGATTCTCTTAACGTGAGAGGAACAAAGCATAACACTTCGGTAGTTATTTGTCAAAAATGGTGTCGAGTTATAAATTGTTTCTTTCAGACAGTGTCCGGTTGTTGAATGGGGTATTTCACCTTGTTCTGTGGCAGCCTGCCGTCTGTAAAGGCCGCCAAAAGCAGAGAGGCTGAAGCCCGCGAGACCCAAAGTTGTTGTAAGCAGTTTGTCAAGGCTACCCCCGTGATCTCCGGTTAACGAGGCGTCCACTTAACATTGCTCTGTCTCGCTCAGGGGGTAATATCACAAATTGCTAGTACACTACACATCAAGTCTATTCGCAAAATCTTGAGCATTTCAATCGAACATGAGAAGGAGACATACATGGTATTCCTCCAAGGGGTCGTATTGTAGAGTATAGCAGAGGAAAAGTTTGTTTCCAAGTGGATATATTATCAGATGTTGAATCGATCGTGATTGAGCTTGCAGCTTATATTTATTGTCAAGTATATATTACCAAATGGAAAAGATGGAATTTTCGCTAAAAGCAGCTTGTCTCATTTGCTCGTTATTGTTAATATGCGTTGAACGCGTTGTATGCATACCAATTATGAAAGACGAGAGAAATTCTACAAAAATTTACTTAATGAGTCAGAACTCCACATTACACGGATCAAACAAAAATACTAACGAATCGAATAAGAAGATACTAACTATTGAGGACTTGCCTGAAGATGGCTCTTTAGATGAGGAGTTTGAGAGGCTTCATCCAAACTTCGGTATGTATCATTTATTTCGGTATCCTTTTTCAAAATATATGACATGTTTTGATCGAGGACTTTAAAGGTCATCAAAAGGTTTTGTATGAAACAAATCTAGGCAATGAATGGGCTTCGCGTGGAAGGTTTTTTATCCAAACACACATTCGTTTAACAAGATTCCGTGTCTTCAGTGTTAGTCGAAACGGTTTTCTCTTCCAAGTCGAGAGTTTGCAACCATTTTAAGACTATTTTCGCAAGTACTTTGCACTAATACGTTGTCAGCAGGAAGATTTAAAAGCTTAGTCAAAGGTAAGAACATTTAGCTAATAATTTTACGAAAGCACAGCCACCGTCTTTTTTGCCATTTGAACTTGACAAATTAGCATTTATGGGGCCAATTGAAAAAGCCACATCCTTCATTGTGCAAAGTTTCCGATTAAGAATGTTTGGGTAATTTTTATCATACGTTCTCATCACTGATAACAACGATTCCTGCACACTGCTCTTTACTACAACTTTTAGATCTTTTTGCTTGATTTACGCATGCTATAAGGTTTTTTACAAGTTTTAAAAACACGAATGCATTTGATTGCTAAGCGGTTTGTAGAAAATTGATATCTCTACCTTCAAATTCGAGGATCAATCAAGGCTCGCTAATCCTGATTTCCTACGAATTCAAATTAAGGTAAATGTTTTTTCAGTATGCGTTAATAATATGATCCTCCCTTCGGCTAACCAAAAGCTTAAGAAAAATTAATTATTTATCAGTGAAACGCCTATTAGGTTGCGTTCGCGAGCACTCCCACTGATGCTGTTTTTACAAAAAAGTCGTCATGACTTGGAGATCCCCTGTACGGTATTGTTTCCCTGTTAGAGGTATCAAAGAAATGGAGAGAGTCAGACCATCCTGTTCTTTTACTCTCTATTCCCATGCTGTACACGCTGTAGTTTCGGTGTTTTTAACTGTAAAAATCTTCAACACTTTCCATGTTTTTCGGCTACCTTCAACACGAAGGCAATGGGTACATGGCTGCAAACCTCCTTAAAACGTGGGAAAACTGTAAAATACGCCAGCAACTAGCGGTGCAGAAAATACCTAATTTCGAGGTAGATAAACATAAATTGTGCCGTCGGTTAGCAAGCGTTGTTCTCGTGTACAGAAAGATTCTTTGCATGAACGGATAGCTGAGCAGTAGCTAACACTGCTGATCTGTAAAGAGGATTGAAGGTAGAAGATTCGCAGGTTGTGTTCTCAATGCCCGTATTCTCTCATTTCGATACTCAGTTCGCATTTTCCCTTGGACTCTGAGGTTTTATGAATTTCGGTGGGAAAACAGGGCGGGTCATTTTAACTCCTCCCCTAAATCATCTGGAGATGCCAAGAATGTAACAATTTATTGAGTAATAAAATCGTTTCGCTCAAACAAGAGTGTGACTTTTTTAGGCCAACATTCATGAAAACAAGTATCGTTAAAATGTGGGAGATTGTATGTAACTCTCTTTAGTAATGGCAAAGAATAATTTTGTTTTGCGCAGGTAACATCGCATTAAGTAAAAATATGAAAACGTAATGATTTTTATGAAATTTTAGTTCATTTACCAGTTAGAAAAGGTTTATTTTGTAATTTTGTAATTTGTCTTTTTTTTAATTTTGTAACAGGAAGGTAATATAAAACCTTCATATAAGAGACGCATTTTTTCGGAACAAAAGAATAATTCCTTCGAATAAAAGAAAAGCTTGTCCCAGTTTCAACGCAATTGTGGTTGTGTCAAGATTACTACTACCTCGATAGATCTTTTAGTTCTCATTTCCTCTCTTTATTCTTTCAGGAGAGCAGCCTGTTGAGCTGAACAATCACAAATATTTTCAAGGGGACATCAAACTTGACCCTTTGACAAAACTTTACATGGAGGTGGACAGGAACCTGCCTCCGAGGAGGAAACGAGCAATTGTTAGGACCAAAGTCTCGCGTTGGAAAAACAGGGTAATTCCTTACACCATAGACAGAAGCCTGCGTAAGTCAAGTTAACTTGTTTTTCACGCATGTTATCGAAAAAATTCACCTTTAAACAAGGGAGAATCTCTTTAATTAGCAAAATAGTAAGGCCAATCCGATTCAATATGCCTTTGTTTTAAAGATGAGAACAATTTTTTGACCCTTTGATATTCCGTTGAGCCCAATATAATCTCAAGTAAAACCAAATATAGATATCCCACAAGGACTCATGCTTTTAGTCAGATCAAACCCTCTTAATATGTATTTGTATATTGATACATATTGCTTTACTAGCATTATGGAGAACCTTAAGCCTCTCCTCTTAATCCACCTTTCTGTTATTTAGGCCATAATTACAATGAATAATATATATGCAATGAATCTTAATGCATAGCAAATATTCTCCTTATCTCGTAATTTTTTTTGTTTTTGCCAACATATCGTTATGAGAGAATTGTCAACAATATATGTAAGGCCGAATTGTGCCTATTTCTACCACTCCGTAAAGACATGAGAAAATGCGCCACGACCTGGGCAAAATCCGAACCCCGGATCATCGACATTGCGCAAAATAGAAACGACGGACCCGAATTTAACTTGCCAAAGCAAAAGCATTTTCGTGGTGTTCTTGGTGTATTGTGCGTAACTTTACGAAATTCAGAAAAAGAAATAGGTTGTTGTCTTCAATTAAAAAAGACTGTTTCTAGGTTATTTTAGTTTAAAATCAGTGTTTCCATGTAGCTTGCAGTTGCACACACGTCCGTAACAACTGCTGACAAACCGCTGATGTGAATTCAGCTGTTCTGTGATTTTATTGGTTAAGACTGAGATACTCTACGTTGATTGGTCTAAACCAAGCGGCACCCCCATTGAAAGCATTTTACTTTTACGGACACGCTACCTGTGATCGATTTTTGGCTCTAGGCAGATCTGCTATGTCATTTCACCGCAGAATTGATAAAACCTTCATTCCCGTTCAGTTAGGGAACCCGTATCAAGAGCTGTATCACTAGCATCTCCGCATGCTTGCACAAAAGATAGTTGTATGTAAAACAAGACCGCCCGAGATAGTCATTTCAAACACACAGCTACAGCTGATTCTGTCATCGATATATATACGAGTGATAAGCTGCTATCAGTCATTCCTACTGCTTGAGATCTCCTCTTTATCAAAGTTATACGAATGAAAAAAGCTTTAACACAGAGGGTTATTGCACGAGGTGTAATGATTTATATAAAACATGTAAGAGCCTGCGGAGCGGCCTTTTTTATCACGGCTTCTGCGCAGTACGGCCCTGTTATCTGAAAATTCTACATGCATAATTCTCATTTCAAGAAAAGTTATTCGGCAGCACTGAAGAACAAGTATTCTGCAGCACAATAAAATTATGAAATGCAGATCAACGTTTGCGATTAGATATGGTGCAGCAACTTTCCCATAGAGGCACTATTAAAATAATTTCTTTTCATGCTGCTCTTTAAAGTGCAATGCTAAACTTCTAAGCCCTTAAAATAGACCTGGCGTCTGCAGCTGTCTATTTACCTGACTATTCAAACAACAGGCTGGAAATTATAATTATTTTTGTCTCTAATTACTGATGTAGCAATTGCATGCAAATTGAGGGAAAAGACTTCCACCCTTATTACCACTATGCAAAATTCTTTTGTTCCAAAGCATTCTATGCCAACTATGTGAAAAAGCTCTTTTTTATGTCCGCCATTGACGAAATAGATCTGTGATGTTAATTGGGGTGCTAACTTCTTCGCGCTGTAGGTTCACAAGAAAACCTGAAATGTTCCAGTGCACCAATCTTTGATTATTGGCACACAGCATTACGATTGCAACGACGCAGCATTGCACTAGAGAAGCATTATAATTAGCGATGTCCGGATTAGAGTGCCCGTTGTCACGTGCTGCATTGCATTGTTTCTTCTCAACATATATAAACATTTTGTTTGAGAGTTTCAAAGTTGACTCAATGCTTGTAAATATTCGTTTATGGTAGAAACATTCCTCGCTTTTTCGAGGATTATTTGCCAAATATTGCGAGGCTTCATCGCGGAACGGTCTTCAATGACACAAAGTTTGTAAACAAGGCCTCCACTCAAATACGGAAATTTTTTGATCTTATTAATGCAACAAGTTAGAAACAGCAGAAGAATTTTAGCCATCTGTACAATTTTGCAGATTGTTTGAAGATCTTTCCACGCTGTTAAACAGTGGGCTGTAGCAAATTTATTTACTTGATGTCAGACACCGCCTACAAATGTTTCTGATTTTCACCGATCGGTAACATGTAATGCAAGCTAAAGATATTTGCAAAGCCCATCTTCTTCACTTCTGAGGTTGTTAGGAAGATAGTCTGGCTCTGCAAATGGGACATTCTTGTCATTATACTCTTTTTGCCTATCAATCACAGAATGTCTGCTCAAAGAAAATGGTGCAGACACTCGCAAAGTTCTAGTTCGCCAAATTTCGCGGTTCACTATCTATGGTATATTTGAGTGGATTGATTGCAAACAAACAAGACAATGTTGCAATATGTGCATCAATTCGTAAAATTGAAAAAGAAACAAAGCAAATATTTTATAGATTCTAGCTAACAGTATTAGCAAGTACTGAATTCCGATGCTTAATTTATCTTATTAGAGCAAGCCCAAAAATCCTGTCTTATCGAATGGCTTAGATGTTTTGCTACCAAAAATAAAACATAATGGCTATCCGTTTTTGGAAGGACATTTGCCTTAAAATATCTAATTACTGAAATATTTCTGATTTATTATTGTTTTGAAGCACGTTTTGTTAAACGGTGTTAGCCTATTTTAATGCTTTGCTACGAGGAATGCTCTACCCAAATGTCCAAAGGCATATGAAGGCTACTTTAGCTTGCAGAAATTCTAGACATATACTTTTTACGTGTTTGGTCACAGGAAGGTATTATGTGGTTTGGGTTGGAAGAAGTTTTAAACGATTGTGGCATTTATTTACGAGATGTCGTTACATGAAGTAGCGAGACTGCTTTGGGCACTTCGGAGCAGATAAAGCTTCGTATTGAAAATGGGACTACGGACTAAATTGCGTCCAGTTTTGATTGAAAAGGCGTTCTTTAACACTGATGCAGTTCTAATCACTAAGATAAAACAGAGCAGAATCGCTGACCGCAGTTACTTCTGCCTTTGACTAAGCTTGATCCTGTTTTTAAACACGGTTTATAGAATAGCAAAACATGTCAGTTGGTGCATTAAGATGTGTGGACGCAAACAGCTCGATTTGCTTTCGTTTTGAATACCTTATAAACCAGTATTTTTAAACTTTATTTCATGAGGATGTTTCCACTTTCCTCTCAGGTAGAATAAGAATAATCCACTATACGGATTGAATCAATCGCATTAAATTAGAAATTTGCAAATTCCCTTAACATGATACTTGTTAAAGACTCTTTCACGTACTCTTTCATGTACTCTTTCAAGGCGCTGTTGTATCAAGTGAGCTTATTTGTTATACACAAACTATAGAAATAAACTGCAATGCATCTGACCAGGATTGACAGATCACTACATTTTACCACAATCACTTCTTGTTATTTTTTAACCAATCTTTTACTGACGCAAAGAAATTTGGCATGTTCAGCTTGAAATTTTTGCTTAATGCGAAAGCTCTGTGCTACTTGCTGTGAATCTCGAAGCTGAAAATTTACCCCCTTGCTTTGGGTTCTGCAATGAAATTCGTTATGATAGCTATTGACTTGCCACTGTTTTATGATTTCTTTCGCACTGTCAAGATTACGATATTCTTCCATCTTTTTATGGCAATACATGCAAACCTAGATATCCATTCTTAACAAATTTGCACGTTTGTATTTGGAAACAAATTTCCAGTGCCAGTGAGTAAACTAGAATCCCACGCTATTCCCAAGATAAGAAAAGCAGTAAATTTCGTAGCGTGCTGCTAGAAACCAAACTGCAGCTGACAATTAATATATCTTATCTTCCCTTAGGAGGCCATATTTTCTGCCCAATAAATGTCACAATGCACAGTCGTTTAAACTAGAAATAGATCATTAGATAAGACTCCTAAGTATTTCATAATATATTTTCCGGCCTAATTTATTATCAGCAAGATGCACCCATTATCAATAAACGATCAGAAAGATTCATCCTTGTTTTTTTGTCATTAGTGTTTGTTTGTTTCTAATTTTTAAAGCTATATATAACTCGTCTCACGACTCAAATGCATCTTACTTTTCCAAAAAGACTTGAAATTCATCTAACTTCTCCTCTTGAATGCCTCACTGGCCATAAAACCACACCATTTGGATAAATTGCAAAACAAATGTAAATATTGCATGTAACCAGGAAATTAGCTTTTCGTGTAAATATATTTTTGCTTATTTATCAGTCCAAGTCAGTTTAGTGAATAAAGCAGGGTATGTTTATCGATATAGCATTAATATTTGACGAAGTTTATGATTTGCCACCAACAGATTGGAGTAAGATCAATGCTTTACTAGAATAGGCTAAAACGCACTAATTTTCGAAGACAAGGCAGTCAAAAACAACTTAGATGGCCTAATAATACAAAGAGAGCATACGAACATTCGGTGATGGTGCTTCATGTAAAGTTGAACGCTAGTCCTAGTTCTCATCATCTTTCAGTTAACCTATATGAACCGAACTGGAAAGATTAAATTTGAATTATTTCTTCTATAGAAACGTGCAAACAATTCATTCCTAGAGCCTTGAATTGTGCAGCCCCCTTTCAAATGAAAAATCAGCAGTTTTTGATGGTATGATCATTATAATCCGTTACAACGAACATATTGCTCTTCGTGAGAAAGCCCTTTGAGAGAGGCCTTTGAGCGAGTAGAATGCCAACCACCGATTCATTCATTTCTGCTGTACAGTTTGATTGATAAATAAACGTTGGTTTACTTTCCTGCGAATTATTATAATCTGATAATCGGCTCTCCTGTTGACACTTAAAAGTATTTGTTGTGTTTTACATCTATTTCCTGCTCTAAATATACTAATAAAATTTCAATCAAACCCGACCAAATCGAGCACATAGCGCGTACTCTTGCTGACGCACAAAATGGACCATACTATTTCAAATGAAAATCACACGATTCCCACCTAAACCTCGGAGAATGCACGATATCCCAGCAAATATCAATTAAAGCCCCTCTTACAAAAGCCTACAGCTAGGCTTGTACCCCCAATACCCCAATACCCTTAAAGGGGTTCAAAATATTTGTCACGTTTGTCACTTTTTTCCAAGTCACGCCTTACCGTCACAAAATACAAAGAAGCTCTCTGCTAGAGTTACAAATGAAAGCCAGCAAACAGCACTTTCTGCCTAAGCCAAATAAACAAGACAACACTTCAAATTCCAGTAACTGTTGGTTCCGGTAAATTCTTCTTGTCTAAAACCGATTCATAAGTTTGTTAATGCTGTTTACAAGCAAACAGACAGAGCATCAAAAAGCTTCATCTTTTTCATTCCTTCACTTTCCTTCCAGCGACCACAATGTGAAGATAGATCTTATTCACCCTAATCCCTCTTTCCTCTTCATTCTAGCGGCAGCAACTAAATATGCCATTAGAAAGGCTATAAAGCACTGGAAAAGCAACAAGTGCATACGGTTTCGCCGAAAGCGTCCTACGGACCAAGACTTCATTCATTTCTTCGATGATGGCGAATCGTAAGTATCAATGCATTTACGAGCTTCGATTCACATATAACTTAGCTGGCTCTATTAAAAAGAACTATTTACGCTAACATAACGATAATCAAGTCCATGCCTTGTCGAAACTTTTGCGATTTTGTCGTAATTCTTATGATGTTGCCGTGAAGGATGAATTTTCTCATTCAGCATATTTTTTCATAAATAACACTTGAATTTTCAAGCGACAATTTAATGCAGCAGATACGGCATTATTTCAGTATCGAAGGAGCTTCCACGTTATGTTTCTCTCAAATAACGTGTCGAAATTGTTACGATTGTATCGACCGTTATTTATTTATCCCTTGCAACAGGAATTAATCTATATTTGAATGCACTTAATCTCTTAAAGCTCTCTTTGCGCTTACACGGATAACCTCACTTTCTCTTTGTTTGTACGGCAGGTCGTCTGTGTACAATCTCTAGCATAGATTTGTACACATTCTTATTTAAGGGGCTTTGATTGTATGAGTTATTGTTCAAAGAGAACTCGAATACTCTTTCATAAGATGTTTTCGATCACGATTTTACATTTAGCTATTGGGTTGCCTGATCTGCTTCACCATTCACAACGCTTGGGTTTGTTTGCTTGTATGCAGCGGCACCAAACACTTAAGGTTTAGGACAACCTCCCTTGACTAACAGTTTGTGAAAGGATTTCAGAATCAATGGACATCAACTTTTTGGCTAAAGGTTGTTTGATCCTTGGTGAAATGCTTCACAATATGTCTTGCCAGTTATTCACAGCCACATCAAAAGAGGCTATGAGCTTTTGGGCAATACCTTTTAGGTGCATGCCCTTTCGTATCTCTATATTCCATCTTTAAAAGCAAAGTTGGAAAAACAGAAAACAACAGATCTTCTATGCGATATTTTCACGCTTTCAAAAAAGGGTGCTGCCCCCCAACCATTTTCATCCCCAGCTTTCCCTTTGCCCTTATGCACCAACCAGGAACAAGCTGGCCTTAAAGCGTCAAGATGCCTTACATAAAACAACACGCTACTTAAATTGATATATTCAACAACTTTAGTCCCGTTGTTACGCTATAATGGTGCGTTTAACTCTTCTTTGCTTCCTAAAAAGAACACCACAAGGTGTTAATTGCCTTTTTGATTTCACTTCAATGGACTATCTTTAGTCGCACTTCTCCCTGATTTTTGACACCTATAGCCCCCAAGGGAGTTCTGGGAACATTCTCCCACGCTTTCTACCCTAACAAGTGGAGTTTCATCTAAACAATGGATATGGGAACCCAATGCTCGTTTTTCTATACCTTTCCAGCATTTTCCTTTGGACTCGAGATGCTATTCTCGTGCTCTTTGTAGAAGCTGTGATACCTCAATCAAGCTCCTATCTACTTTTAAACGACCATCTCCTACTGGTAGGATATTTTTAATAAACTTTTTCAATGCATTAGCTTGCTTGAAAACATAAGAAATAATTTAGGTTTCAAAAATTAAGCTTAACCAAGCTTTTCTCCGTATTACTGCTAGGATTATTCAGCCCGAAATTGTACCGAGGCTGAAACTTCGCATCGAGGCTAAAGCGAGATGACATCTTTTTTTAAATTTGTGATCACAGAGAAAGAAGGCAAACCTAGGAAAGCCTAATTTCACTGCAAAACTGAGAAAATTTAGTTTTTGAATAAAAGGGAGGTACTGACGTTGCTTATGCTGCCATGAATCACTGTTAAACCCACTAGTTTTGAACTTTGTCAATGAAGAGGGCGGGATCTAGAGAAAATGTTCAAATTTTGTAACAAACAGGAACCGGGCTCAACTACAACCTGCACGCCTCTGGAATTTCCGTGACTACGCATTGCTTGTCAAAATCACAATGGCATCCTTTTTGTAGGAGAATCTAAGCCACTCGTACAAGACCGCTTTACTTTGAGACGCAGAATGGACCCGCTGTTCTCAGACAATGAAAACACTGACCCTACAAATTCATAATTTCATGAATTAAAAGATTCAGCAACTTTGATTGAACCTCTCTGCTTGCTATTAATTCCTGTATTCCTTCCCATTCCACTATTTGGTTTCCGGACACTAGGATAATAAACTTGGTCCTTTCTTCTAGCTTCCTCAGTTTCATCTGTAGAAACAGAGTTGCGCTGGACAAAGAAAACACGAGATCCTTTTCACATACATTGACGGGAACTTTATTCTAAGCGTTTAGAATTTTGAGCTTTTAGTTTAAAAGGCACTGACATGTAGAAATTTGCATTTGCAAAACTACTGCCTTTGTAACCTGTTTTCTCTGTTTCCTCACGAAATACCCAGCTTCAAAGATTCTCATCATAAACATTTTTTCTAAAAACCCTTGCAATAAATCATGGGAACACAAATACCATCTTAAGAATTAATTAGTTCACAGCAGAGCCACAGTGGTTAGGCTGTCAGGGTAGAAAAGTTTTGGGAAAATCGAAAATTTAGTAATTTGAGCCTGTTTTATGCTCTTTTTATGGTATAGCAAAGTTTTGTGGATGATTTTGAAAAGTTCGGTTATTTAGGCCTAATCTAGGTTAGCCTAAACTATTCAGGTATATTAGAGGTTTTTTGAGTCAATCGCCTACCCTAAGGTTATTGTCCCACTACGCACTTTGTTGTCTGGGTTGATCTTTAATAGCTTCCCAACCCAGCCGGTGCACTAAAGAAGCAGGGTTTTCATGCCGGCTTCTTGGTATCTTCCAATGGGTCCAGCTCATCGATTTCCTGTTATCAGTCTACAAATGCGGTGCAATTATTGTCATTAATGAAGAAGAGCACGATATTTACTTGGTTCATTCATTTTTGTGACAATTTCCCGCCAATGATACTGATAACTTCCCCAAATGCCGTAACAATTACCTGGAATAAGATCCGGGTTTTTTAATAGGTCGCGTGCCTCTTTATTAAGGAAATATTATGCCTCTGAATGGAAATACTTTCTTGTCGATTTGCAGTTAAGAACGGGATGCTTATCTAGGCTCTGGTATGCGTTGCCTAGGCCATGTTAATCCTGTGCTCTTACTGCTCTACCAAGAAAACAGGGCCCACAATTGGAATGCCTCTCTTGATATTGACCCAATTCCCGCATTTGTTACAGCAGTGACGTAATACTCAATATTCTTGTTTATGCTTGAATTGCGGGGCCTTTCAATGGGCTGCATGAATATTATTTCTTCAAAAACATTCGATACAAAGTTGCTCCAAATTTTACACGAAAGACGTATGCAGCTAGCAATTAAAATTCTCCTTACTTTAATTGACTACTTTTTGCAACTTTTACCCTATTTAATTGAAGAAGCACTTCTATCACAATAGCCTCGCAAATTGGCATTCATTCTTTCTAGTCACTCTTTCCTTAGTTTTGTTTTTGGCGTCACTTTGAGGAATCTGACTGCCAGCCACTCCTTCCGTTATTCTCAAGAAACAATAGTATTTCCTGGTATATAAGATTTTTGGGAATTTTAATCACTGGTCTAGGCTGCTGGCAAGTTATGCTTGCCTGCAGCTTACCCTCGTTCTAAATGTGGATATATTATATTGATGTGAGAATGCTGCTTCTTTTAGCCAAGGGGAGGAGAGTTCAACCCATAATTACCCAATTAGCTGGAGCATCGTGAAAGGAACATTTCTTAAAGTGTCACCATTTAATTTCAATTCCCAGCTCTTTTTGTCTATTTATTTGGCGTCCTGTAAATGTTTCTGAAATCTTTACGTCTGTCAAATTTATCTACTGCAGTCTCATATTCCAGCTACGATGAATGAGTCTAGTCTTGATAAATGGAGAAGAGAGGTATTAGGCCCAAAGAGAGAAGTGATCTCGTAGCATCATTTCAATAAAGCTCAGTACATCGCTCATTCATTCTTCAAATGCAACCTATTTCTAATTTTGTAATTTTTTTAAAGTAGCATAGACAATCCTCTATCTTGAAAAAACCTCTCTAGTCGACCATCTAGTTCTTTAACGAGAAGCCAAACTGATTGAGGCACGTTTTTGATGGAGGCCTGGTAACGGCTTAAGATAAAAAATGTTTAAAACAAGGTGAACGGAAAGTCTTCTGTGCTGGTCACTTCCCTAGAAAACTTCCTTTGCTTTATTCCCAGTTTTGCCTATTTCTGAGTCCATTCTCCAATGACGCATTGAACTTTTTGTTCCAAATTGCGCAAAATAAACATAACTGCCTCCTTCCCAGTGTGATAAAGAATGTACCAGAAATGAACTTATATCAAGCTCAAGAGGTACTTCTTGCCGGCATCAACCGAGCCATTGTATTCTTCATAATAAACCTCTTTTCTGCTTCCCGTTTTGTGTGTCCTGATAACGGACAGTGCATCCCGTTAGAAATTTTCCCGGGGTCGTGCCGAGGGAGGAGTTTTCGTTGTTTTGTTCGCATTTATGCAGTTTCTTCTGTGACTTATGGTTGAAATTCAGCCGAGATTTGTTTGAAAATTGCAGCCATGCTGTGTAAAGTATTTTTGGTGACGAAATTTACCAAGCCACTAAATGGTTTAGAGGAGCGGTTTCTCGCACTATCACTGTTTCCATAGAAATCTCACATACAGGAAACTTGACGAATGCTGGGTAGAAACTCATAATACGATAACAATTTCGTCGCAAAAAAACACGCTAGGGTTTGGTAAACGTGAAGTTGTACTTCAAAACATACGGTCAAATAAGATTAAACGATATGGACAGCCAATCTAATGATTTTCTGTGTCTTTATGAAAATCCATTGGAAATATTTGAACGTGGCGGAAAAGGAGATATCCCGGCCTTTTAAGGATTCAAGATAACTCAAATGGTTATCAGCCTTGAGCTAATGTTATAAAGGAAGAGCACTGTTTTTAGATATCAAAAATATTTACGTTATCTTGTGTCTTACTAATCATCGCACTGATTACCGCTAATGCGCTGTAATAAAATTTGATTTTCATCTAAACGCTCTCCTAACCCGCGGTAGACGCAGACCAACCTTTTAATCGTACTAGTTTCGCACGCACAGGCACGCACAAACGCGAGTCTTAAACTGTCATATAACCTCAATGAAGTTTCTCTCAAAACAACATATATTTAATGGCCTGTTACTTTTCATACTTTGTTGAGTTTACACATAAAGTGAAGACACAATGTTTTATGATATGAAAATATATTACATTGTATCCTTAATACTAAGGCTGTGCTTAATTGAGCCGTACTGATCACACATATTCATGATACTTTAAAACATTGCAATCCCAACAGCATATCCACTGTTGTTTCGAGGCTGGTTTCATAAACCGGTTTCGAGAAGATGTAGCAAAGAAATTTTCAACTTAGTCCTCACCCTGGTTCTAGGATCTTTTTATACTGGAACATGCGTTTGAAATTAAACTGCGTGTTTTCAACTGTTTCTTAAAACACTCCATCTTACTTTATTTCTGGCTAGCCATTGATGAGCCCATAAACGTCTTTATTTTATATTTTCTCTTTACTTCTAAGCAAATCCTCGAAACTGATGTATATCTTCTTCCCAGGTGCTGGTCTACCGTTGGAAGAGCAGGCAACCAGCAAAACATCTCAATCGCCAAGCATTGTGCAACGAAAGGCGTTGTCGTGCATGAAATTGGCCATGCTGTTGGATTTTTCCATGAGCAAGCACGACGAGACAGAGATTTGTACATCGAAATTATCAAACGGAACATCAAGAGGTCGGACCTTGGGCAATTCAGTAAGTTTTGATTAGCCATCTTTTTATATCTTTCATCGTATTAAGAGAGCAAGCCCAATTAACCTTTTTCGCAGAATTATTTTAGTTTGGTTGTTGTTTATAAGATAACTGTTCTTTATAATAGAATGGGTTTTAATAAATGGATTTCAAGATCTTTCAAAACCAAATTAATGGTTGAAATGTCAGCCTTTGAACATGAATATTTTTACAGATATCATCAACAACAAAACCAAAGAAACAGCGAGTTGTTCCTTCTCAGCCTTCTTGATGACACCCTAACGGAAGGAACATAATTCTCTGCCCTTTTCCGTTTTACATCTATTTTACACCGTTTTACAAAGATTTACCTTCTTTATAGGGAGAATGAGCAACCGCCTCGTCGACTCATTGGGCTATGCGTATGATTACTGGTCCATCATGCATTACGGTCCCAGAGCTTTCAGTGCCAACAGAAGAGACACAATAAAAATCACGAGTATTGGGAGGAAAGCTGGTGTTAGCAGAAGTACCATTGGAAGCCGAGTTCTCTCGAAACTGGACATTGCACAGATCAGAGAAATGTACCAATGCAATCCCATTCCATCTAAAGAATCGCAAAAAGGTAAAATTCTTGCGTGCTTTTCTGACAAAAACATCTGATAAACAAATGCATCTTGAAACAAATGCATAAACAAATTGAAGCAATAAAATTGCCTTTTTAATTGTTTGGAGGACGAAGAAATGTTCTAAAGTTAAATGAGTAGAATTTAGGCTTTTTTCATCTAATTCGATTGCAATATAACTTATCTTGAAATATATGAATTACTAGAGACGATTTCAAGTCGCTTATAATTTATGGGATTAAAGATTTTATTTGGAAAAATAAAACTGATTAGAATATTTTCTTTCTATAGGTTGCTTCAAGAGTGCTTACGGAGATGGTCGAGATTACAGAGGAGAGCTTGATTATACAGAAACGGGTATTACTTGTCAGTACTGGAGTGACAATTACCCACATAGACATTCAAAGAACTTTCAGACCACGAAGCGCGGACTTGGTAACCACAATTTTTGCCGAAACCCCGGCGGTAGGCGGAAAAGGCCTTGGTGCTTCACCACTAAAACCAATAAACGGTGGGAATACTGTGATATACAAATTTGCAAAAGTTAAGGTGGATAACACCTGCAAGTAAACCGTGCCAAGCTACTGGCCTACCTCATGCAGACGGCCTAGCTCTTGAGAAAACCGGCAGCTACCTGCATTTCTCGTAGCTCTCCCTGGACGAATAGGTAGAGGATGATGTTTCATCAAACACACTGAATAAGCTGAGATACCCCCAGCGGTTACAAGCTGAGATAGCCCCAGTGATGGATAGCTGACTCAACCAGAGGCAGCGTGAAGGTGGACATTGCAACAGATATATTGATGACACTCTGCCATAAATCCAAGCCCTGGGACTCTCACGAATCTCCTTCAAGAATGCCAGCACTGTTTCGATAACTGATGAAAGACTGAAAAGCGCAGCACTACTGTCAAATCATTGTTTTATTCGTGAACCGTGTTAGATGTGAGTTGAAACCCGCTAACTATGAAAAAGCTAGTTAGGACAGTCGATGTACCAGGTTCTAAAAAGCTCATGTAATGACTTAGAACATCAAGATGAGACATTTTAAGGATTTCTTGGAAGCACTTCCCACAAATTTCAGTTCATTGACAGGCCTTTCATACAATTACATGTTCACTTTCATATCTTGTATAGACCAGCCATATTTCTAAAAACTTTGGTTTTACCAGTGACAATACAAATGTTAGATCGGCTTAACCCTTTTTGTCTTTTCTCGCTATGCTGGCTGGATGATGAGGAATCTCACCCACTTTCCAACGAGTTTTGCTAATCAAAGACACCCTAATCCAGTTAAACTACCGTTTTCGTTGCAATCACATCCTTCTTAGACTGTTTTTAAAGCCATGAAGTCGACAATTCACTGTGGTGTTTGAGATCTTATTATGGGTGATGAAGGAAGGCTCTGTTCAGTTAGCGATCTGCTGATATCATTACCATTAAATAGATTGTGCCAAGAATAGGGTTGCTTAACTTACAACTATGTTTATGAGTATTATAAATCGCGCTATTCATTGGGGATAGTGGGGTGCAAGGAAATGCCTCTGTTCGATGAATGGAGGCATCAGTTAGTCTATGGTTTATGGATTAACATAGAACCCTAATTTCAAGGGCTCTCGATAGGTAAAAAACAGCATACTCAGGTTCTTCATTAATCACCAGGATGCTTTGGTATTACCCCCACTATTCACCCAGATTATACTGACATTGTCTTCCTCGAGCTAATGAGACTTCAATGGGACTATGATCATCCGGCCAGCGGGACAACCACTTGATTCAATTACTTGCTAATTCGGATTTCGTAAACAGAAATGAATGGCAGAACTTCCAGTTCAGCACCACTGAGAAGGGTTTTTTCTAACAATGTTTGGTGAGCAAGCGGTACATGTATAGAGCTCACACAACTGACTGCTCACAATTCTTAGATAATTAAATATACCCCCATCTTTCATTCATAACAAATTACTTAAGAGGCAAATGCTCTTCACTCGAAATTTAAAGTCTCACTTTCAATCTCCACTTGAAAAATAACACGAAACATTATAACTAAAGAGTGGAGTATATTTGAATTTTAAGCTTTTTTGCTGTGCTGAAGCAGCCAATCTGTTTTAGATTGACTTGCATTGTTTATAAGAGATTGATATGTTTTATGCCTTTGTTAAATTAATTATATACTGGACTGTTTCTTATCATATGTTCTAATTTATTCAGAAGTATTGATATATTTTATTAGCCATAGTTTAGATTAATTTAGTGCCCCGCCCCCCAAGTTGTCTCAGCTCAACTGTGAGTGAGCCCTTTACCGGTTCATCAATCCGTTTCTTTGAACGTTAGTATTTTTCGCCTGAGATAAAACAAGCGAGAAATGTGAGATCGAATCGAAACCGTTATTTTTATCAAAACCTAAACAAACGACATGTCCAAGATCACGAAAGGCTGAGACACTTGCCTTAAACTTCAGTTACTTGAAGAAGAGACATAATCAAAACTTTGTACATAAATAAAGTTTAATACTTGCTTTTTGAGTAGAATTGTATTATTGACTAGAATTACATTATTGACCTCCTAATAAAGATCAAGTTGTGTTAGGCCACAAGTCAACACAGGCTTAAAATCTGACATGCACAGGAGCCCCATTCATATCACTTTTCGTATATGCACCCCTATTTTTCGAGAGCAATTCCTCCAATTGTAAATCGATCCAGCCACTACCTGCTTTAATTGTAATAAGTGAGAAACACATTTTTATATTAAAAAATACATCAAAAACCCTTTGCATACTGTGTTTCAAAAGGCCCAGATCTCAAAGCAAAGTTAGGCTTGCCTGGAGTACTTTTCACAGAACCCAGTGCAGTTACTGCAGCTACCAAACCATATCAAAACACCTGTGGCTTTCTTGAGTGTATTTCATCAAAGCAAGCCTATTTTGAGCCGATGCAAACATTCCCATCATTCCAAATATAAGGTTTCATTTTCGTTTTGATTTTTTGTTTCGAATTGATATAACCCCAAACACATTCCCATGAGCCTCTTTTGAATTGGTCCTGTTGCTAGTCGCCTTGCTTCAAAGTACATGGGCCATCCATGATTTTGGTGCTAAAATTTCGTGAATGTTCTGTTTGTTTTTCCTTTTTAACTGTGAATTTGCAGAACAATGTACGATAAATTATCAACATAAGTCTATTTCAGAAGCTATATTTATTTCAAAAATTGTTATTATAGGGCACGTTGATGCCCTTTCTCTGTTATTTATCTATCAACTGAAATAATGGATGTAAATATTCAGTTAAAAATCCGTACATTGTAGAAGAGCGCATTCTATGTGATTCTCGTCATGATTGAATAAAATATGAAGACAGATACTGTATACATCATGTCATTGTGTCTCTCGACTTTCCACTGTCAGCTGGTATTGCCTGTCCACATTGTATTCAGTTTTTTTCATGAAAGAACATACTTGAACATTTTCATCCAATAAAAAACTTTGAGTTTTTTCATTCAAGAAAAGACGCAAGTTGTTTTTATTGAAGATCACACTTGATAATAAGATCAAGTTGTGACCAGCCTCAAATGAAATATTCGAAGTAAAAAAGCTGTGTTATTTGAAAATTTATTTCAATATAGTAAAACAGAGTAGATTTGTCAGTCAGTTCTACTAGAAATATCAACCGAGAGTGTGAATAAGTGGTATTCGAAACAGCGTATTGGATGTGGTTGCGAGAAAAATCAATCTCTAAATAAGAACAGTCTTTAATACGCACACCTCCCAAACAATTCAAAAGCTTTTTGGCAACAATCAACTTGTTCTAATATGAAAAGTGCATTCTTAAAACCAGCCTCGTTATGGTTCAACCGTTTCATTTTCCCGCCAATTTGTCTCACCAAACTAAAGAGTTTGCATTTATCAGCATTGTTGTTGATATGACATCTACAACATACATTTTTTTCTAAAAACGAAATCTGTGGATTGTCCAAACCTTGTAGATAAACTTCTACAAGTTCAATTCACAATTCACTCCAATTCTATAAGTTTTTGATAGCAATTAGGATATTAAAGGGCATATGTCGCATTAGTGCTAATAAAACAAAAGCTTTTGGTGTGGAATTCCATTGTTTCGTGACTTTACATTTCTTCTTGATAAATTTTTACTGCTGTAAAAATTCACCCTCGATTCCCTGCTTTGTACTAAACAAAAGAGATAATTGTATTGCATTAGCCAATCAAGTTCACGACACATGCCCTTTAAACACGAGCGTTGAGGATTCGTAGCACTTACTGCACAGCGTTCCTCCATTTATGAATTTATTTTTGCATTACTCTAAATAGAAATATCACTGTTCAATAAAAAGAGGGCCACAATTTGCTGACGATCTAAAATAAATGAAGGGGCTGAGTCGAAAATTTCTGTATCAAATATTATTTTTTTGTTAAACAATGCATCTTACATACGCTTTGAAAGCTAAATCTGTTCAAAATTAATTGAAAAATAGGAAATTTTAATAAAAATTTTGTTTGCACATGGCATGATCATGCTTCCTACATATCTGAAAGCATTTTTACCTTCCAATTACAACTACACTATGAAATTTCAACAGTAAGTAGTTTGTAAAAATTGTGGAATCACTTTAGTCCAAAGCAATATTATGAATTCAAGATTCCAGACATGATTACAATCGGAGAAAATGTAAATCCCTAAATTCCCCTTATTTCATAAAAAGAGACCCCTGACGAGCGGAAAAGGGATTCAGAAGATTTGCTTCTTAAGATCTAAGAAAAAAAATTCATTTCCTTTTTCACATAGGTACATATCACAATGAACACTTTTGAAAAGCTCTAAAATCGCTCCATTCAACTTTTCAATTACAGTCAATTTTTGAAAATGTATCTTTATTCTTCAAAGTTATTGAGCAGATGTTTTGGGGATTTCTTAATGCTTGACTTTTCTATAATGTAAGAATGTAAGTTTTTTATGTTTTCAATTTCAATAAATCATTTTCAATGACTTTATCAATCTCCTACCTTAATTCTTTATTCATAAGATTTAAAATAGCAAGAACAACCATCCACATAGCCGAAACCTTTATTAACTCGAATGTACATAGAGCAAGCTAGCAAGGACCACAACACGAGCCCCTCTGCCTGAATACTGGATCCCCGCATACCAAAGTTCTTTACAATTCGACAACTTCATTATTTATATACCAGATTTTTACCTTACAAGCCAATAAATACTTGGGATGTTCAAGCCAACAACTCATGACAGACACTTTTTTCTTGTTTTTTTTATAACATAATGTTAGGCCTATTACAAACCACGCGCGCCATCTTGTGAGAAAGCAGTAGTTTTCCACAGTTCGAAGCAACCTTATATAACAAAGAAAATGATAGAATTTAAGAGGAGTACCTTTGAGAGGGTAGGCTTCGGCTTGGATTGTGAAGTCTTTTTGTCACTAGTGCTTCGTGAGCCATAATTTTTGTGTAATTTAGTGTTCAGCTTGTAAGGGGAGCAGCCATGACATCTTATCTTTGTGGTAGAACAGAGAAAGATCTCTGTCCTCTTGGGACGCAAAGTTTTTACCAATCGCAACTTTTTCTCCCAAGGGAACATGCACGTGTGATCGACAGCTCTGATTGGACAAAATGCGGTGTTGGCATCTACACACGCTTCGCACTGGCTGAGAGGGGGGGGGCGTTCCCAAGAAAATTTGAACAAATGCCCTCGACTGCTCAGCTCTAGCACAATTTATCACAATTTTTTAAGATCTTTATTAAAAAGAATTACAGTTAAGAGTTGATTATATTTCACAGACAAGTCTTAATGATAAGGGAAAAAACCCTCGATGCTAAGCAAAGTATTTAAAAATATTTTTGAAAAAAGAATCATAAAGAAGTCCTTCCCCAAAATTCTAATCTTCCAATTTTAACATCGCTAACTTCATCATCGATTAGATTTTGCGTTGGACATTTAAAAGAAGTGAAAAATTCTAGACTATGACATAGGCAACGATGAAACAGCAATTCGTAAAAGCCCTGAGCAAGAATCAAGTCTTCATTTTCTGTTTTGCCTCTTAAACACTCCTTGGTAATTGACCTATAACTTCAGCTACGCAAAAATCAATAAAAGATAGTGTACTAATGTCCTTGTGGCTTTTATGATTACAAAGAACCTTTCTAGAAACATCAGAAACCCAAGTACTTCTTTCACAATTATATGTTAGCTGGTCTATCTCTAGAGTTATCAGTTTAAAGAACCGTCGAAAATCTTTATAAGTGAAAATTTTCAGTCTATACCATCGGGTGGTGGATTGTATGAGCTTAGAGTTGGTGCAAGAGAAAAAGAAAATGGTTTTTCTGACACCTGGGTATGTAATAATCTACAGTAATTGCTGATTGCAAGATAGCCAATCAGAGTTCTGCTTCAAGTTATCACTGGCCAATCAGAGTGTTGCTTCGAAATCCGAAAGCGAGACAAATCTTTTGAAGCCTAGTTGATCCTAGTTGATATATTTTTGATATTATTATGAAATTCCTAACTAATGACGTCAAAAAACTGATCTATCGTATTTTTGAATTTGCATCACATAAGTGTATCAAGAAATACCTCTAACGAGAGAAATAAGTTAAAGGTATTTCGCACATAGCTACAAGTGCAAAGGCTCTTCCCCTCCCCCCCTCCATCAAATTATTGTCACAGTGTCTTTGTTTTTAGAATCGAGAACCGAGAAATGAGGTATTTCGTGAACTAAGTCATGTTCTCAAAATTCAAAACAGAAAAAGATTATTTATGACTTTACACCTAAGAACTCTAAAATTACGTGACATTTTAAAATGCTGTTTGGCAATTCTATGTGTTTGAGCGGAAATGCGGGGGCCGTTGAAGATTTGGGGTCTTGTGGGGGTAATGCGTGTTTGGTATTAATAGAAGCTTCTAGGAAACCTTGGTGTAAACAAGACCAGTTAAGAATAAACAGTAGGATCAAATATGGAAATTAAACAAGCTACCATGAAACAAAGCCCGTCATGGTAGGGCACACTCATTTTTAGATAAAAATAACCATTGGCGTAGCTTGACCTTCCATATGTGGTAGGACGCTCCCAAGATCACATGACGTATTGTTATCACGTGACAGACACAATGTAATCTGCAATTCGTAAATCGTTAGTCAGTTATCTTTGTAACCTCATTCAGTTATAAATCAAGATATGAAAATGGAAAGAGTGTGTTTTCTTTGCTCTACTCTACCATCTAAATTTGGTATTTAAAAGCACCTCTCACACATACTTTGGGGGGGGGGAGGGTTATAGGGGGGTCATGAATAGCATCATTTACCGACGAAGCCTAGGTATAGGTTAATCGAAATTGAGCGCTATTTCGTTAGGCGATAGACGATTTTATCGACAAATGAAGGATTTTGCGGACCAATTGAAGATTTAACAACCAAACTATGACACTTAGAGTATTGCATCCTCTACATCTCTTAGCTACGCCTCTGGAAGAGTTCGTACTCAACTTATTCAAGTTATTACACGCTTCTAGCGTTACTGGCGAGGACTGTTTGGACAACTATGGAAAGCTGGTGGGTTTTTGTGAACAAGAGTCAGGAATTTTTGAGGGATTCATCCGGAGAAAAGGTTTCTGTCTGACACAGGCAGGCTGAAATTGATACAATGCTTCATAGAGAAATATTTAGACATTTGAACCAAAATTTCATGGAGCATTAATGGCGGAGAACAAATTCCAAAGACGCACTGGAAAATATTATGTAGCAAAATCTTGGGATTTGAAAAGTTTTGATAAATCTCTAGAAAACGACAAACCTTGAAATTAACATTAAAATCAAATTCAAAAGTTAGGCAAAAGTCATTACGTAATAAATTATACAAATATCATCAACATCACCACTTTAATGTGGGAACTCGTGATCATTTTCGCCAGATATGAAACACTATATTTCTTTCTATCCAACAGGACCTTTTCAAGCTACCCATGTAATAAATATGATTGTATTAAAGTAAACAAAAAATGGTAAGGGATATTTTTTCCACTTTATAAAATTGATTTAATTTTCAGTTTCCGGGACATGACTGAACCCAACAAAATACCTTTCTTATTATTTTCAAATAGTTACAACCAACTTGAATAGCTCACTTTTACCATTCACCTTAACTTCCGAGAACCCATCCTTTCCTTTAACTAATTTTGTTTAAAGCCACGTTTATTAAATCAGTCTTATGAATGCTATACCAGGAGAACAGATTTTTTTCTGCATAACATAAACATCTAAGAATAAGTCTCGATGCATTTTAACTGTGATTTCAGGCCCTGTTTGTCGTCTTATTTCATCGGTTTTTCCTGATCAAAACCCTTATGTG